TGGCTAATTTTTCTATTTTTAGTAGAGACAAAGTCTCTCTCACTCTTGCACAGGCTGGTCTCAAACTCCTGAGCTCAAGCAATCCTCTTGCCTCGGCCTCCCAGAGTGCTAAGATTATAGGCGTGAGCAACTACACCCAGCATTCCCAGTGTTTTTTGTTTTGTTTTTCTTGAGACAGAGTCTCGCTTTGTTGCCCAGGCTAGAGCGAGTGCTGTGGCATCAGCCTAGCTCACAGCAACCTCACACTCCCGGGCTCAAGCAATCCTTCTGCCTCAGCCTCCTGAGTAGCTGGGACAGGCATGCGCCACTATGCCCCGCTGATTTTTTCTATATATATTATTTGGCCAATTAATTTCTTTCTATTTATAGTACAGACGGTGTCTCGCTCTTGCTCAGGCTGGTTTCGAACTCCTGACCTTGAGCAATCCGCCCGCCTCAGCCTCCCAAAGTGCTAGGATTACAGGCGTGAGCCACCGCGGCCGGACATTCCTAGTGTTTTTTAAATACCCAGTTTTGTTAAAGTTATAAGACTATAAAAGGCACCACATATTGCTGGTGGGAGTATAATTAGATAAACTGGAAGAAAAATTGGCAATACACACCAGAAGCCTTGAAAATCGTGTACCCTTTGACTCATAAATCATCTTCATATCATTTATCTCAAGGAAACAACCATGGGTGTGTTCAAGGTTGTCAACAATAGTAAAAACTTGGAAAAAACCCTGACTGTTTGACAATAGGAATGTTATGATCTCCTTTGTGTAAAAAGTAAAAATAAATAATTAATAAGTTCACTGGCAAAGCTCAACCCAGGACTTGAATTTGGGCCATTTTGGGGGCTGGAAACCTGGTGACTGTTCTGGGAGCTGATTTTCCTGAGTTGACAGATGAAGAAGGCAGGAGGAGGGAGGTGTTTGGGGGACACAGGCTTGAGGGTGGGGAGATGCAGACAGTGGCACTGATGAACCTCAGTAGAGACAGATTAGAGGTGGAAGTAGAGGAGCTGCTTTCATAACAAACTTTGCGAGACTCTAAGTCTGGGTTCTGAGATTAACAAAAAAGATACCACAGGTGTGTTGAGGTAAAAAGTGTCCTGGAGAAAAGTACAGCAGGTAAGAGGGTCTAGGGAGTGTGGGACCTGGGGAGATGGGCAGGTTTATTTAGGGTGGGCAGGGAAGGCCGCTCTGATGAGCTGAGATTTGTCAGAGACCTGAAGGAGAGGTGACAACTACCAAAGGAGTCTAGGCAGAGGGAAAGGCAAATGCAAAGGCCCTGAGGCAGCAACATGTTTGATGTGTTTGAGGAACAGCAGAGAGGCCAGTGTGGCTGGAATGCAGTGAGCAAAGGGGAGAGACAAAGTCAGTGAGGTAGACAGGTCAGGACATGTAGGACACTGTAGCTATTCTAAGAATTGCCATTTACTCTGAGTGAGGTGGGGATCCATGAGAGGATCTTGTATAGAGTAGGTACATGTCCTGACTTATGTTTTATTTATTTGTTGTTGTTTTTTTTTTTAAGACAGGGTCTTGCTCTGTCTCCCAGGGTAGAGTACAGTGGCATCATCATAGCTCACTAAAACCTCAAACTCCTGGCCTCAAGCGATCCTCCTGCCTGAGCCTCCCAAATTGCTAGGATTATAGGTGTGAGCCACTGTGCCTGGCCTACTTTTATTTTTTACATCCTTTTCCCAAAGGCAGGTATATTCCTGAACTGACTTATGTTTCAAAAGGATCACTCTGGAGAGTATAATGTGGAGAACAGATTGAGGGACAAGGAGGGGGGCTGAAGATAGGAGCTGGACACCAGTTAGGCTACTGCAATAATCCAGCAGGAGGCAGTGGCTTGGACCCAGGGTGATAGCAGATAATTGGTGAGAAGCGTTCAGATCCTAGATGTATTTTGAGACTAGACTGGTAGGATTTGCTAATGAATAGGGTAAGATGTGTAGGGGTGTGTGTGTGTGTGTGTGTGTGTGTGTGTGTGTGAACATAGGCTGGGACTACAGGCATGCACCACCATGCCCAGCTAATTTTTTTCTATATGTTTTTAGTTGGCCAATTAATTTCTTTCTATTTATAGTAGAAACGGGTTCTCACTCTTGCTTAGGCTGGTTTCGAACTTCTGACCTTGAGGGATCTACCCGCCTCTGCCTCCCAGCGAGCTAGGATTATAGGTGTGAGCCACACACACACACACACACACCCCACCCGCCTCTTTTTCTTTTTAAACTCCAAGTTATTGGTAGAGAAAGTTCATGGTATTTGGGGAAGTTCCCCAATAGTAATGTGGGTTACAGGGTTGAGAAACACTGTTCTAGATGGTGAGGTTATAGGAAACTTATTCTTATCTTTATTTGCCATATTTTCTACAATAAAAGTTTTAATAAGGGGAGAAAGGATATTTTAAACAAAACATCTCCCCTCCCTGATCCTGAAGTATGAAATGTGAGTCAGATAATAACCAAACAACTTTATTTTAATGATCATATATCCACTTGCCAAATTCCTACCATTCTTCCATGGCCGCATACATGCCACCTTCTCTCTGGAGCCCCTTGCACTTCCCCAACCACCTGTGACAGCTCATTTTTGCCCTCTACTGTGGTCCAGATGGCACCTCTTTTTGGACCTTAGTAGTTCTCTAGTGTTTGTACTGTTTTTTGGCTGCAGGGGACCTTTCAGATAAACCCACTCCAGAAACAGGGTCGAAGCAGGATGTGAGAGGTTATATTTGCCTGAGGTCCACAGTGCAGCTGGGAGAAAGAGGACCCTGGAATGTCAGGCCATGGGGACACAGAAGCAGGCCCTGGATCTGGGACAGGCTGTGGCCTCCCCTGAGGCACTAGGCTCCTGGTTCATCCGTCCTGAATCCCGGACTCCTGGGAGGCAGGGAGTGAGCTATTTGTGTAAGACTCAGGCCCTGGAATATGTCCCAACTTCTCTGGCACCAAATACCCTATTCAGAAAAGCCTAATACAAAGCTATGAAGAGTGGTGGCATCAGAAGTCTCTTTACTTCTTACACTTCCTCTCTGCAAACACTATTTAGTATCTTAAGTTTTTGCCTTTTATGTCACATTATGACTGGTCATTAAATATTCTTCAGAAATATATTTTGATGCTAATATATTATTTACATTAACATAACTTAATCACCCCCTCATTGTTTAGAAGTTAGATTATTTCTAGCTTTTACTATTACAATATATTTTACAATACCTGGAAATTGATCTAAAAGGAATAATTAGAAATCAGTTCCCAAATTTTGAGACTGCACCAAGATGAAAAATCCTTTCATTTCCCACAGTTTTCTCCACTTTTGTTTTTTATTATTCTGTTTTGGAATGGCAATCGCTCTTGCCAGCAACTGAGTAATATTTATCTTCACTGTTATTATTTATGTCTATAAATGGCTTTACAGTTCACAAAGCACTTCTCATATATTGTCTCATCTAATCAACAAAACAACACTATGAAATAGGTTATAATTCCCATTTTACACTTGGGGAAATTGAGGTTCGAAAAGGCTATGTCTATCCACAATGACAGTGGGAGTAAGATAAAATAAAAAAATAAAAAAATAAAAAAAAAAAAGAAAAGGCTATGTGATATATTCAAGGTAATACAATTATTTAGTGTCAAAGTGGGGACTTAGACCAGGGTCTTGAGACGCCCCAAAGCAAATCCTTCACCACATCCAAAGTACTATGTCAGGGGACAGCAGCCGAGGAAGGTCAGGTATGGAGCAGCGCTGCAGGCAGAGGGGTTGGTGCCATTAGTGCGATACGGATAAAGTGCTCCAGGCAGTGGCTTTGCAAGGACAGAGCAGTTCCTCCCACAGAGGACACGCAGTGGGCTTTCGGAGAAATGAGGCCAAGTCAGGTGTTCAAAGATGAACCAGATCTGGACATTCGGAAAAAGGAGAAGGGCTTTCTAGAGGCACAGTGAGTGGGAAAGGAGCCTGTGGCTGACTGGGGAAAGGGCCAGCCCAGGGAGCAGGAGAAGTGGCAAGGCCAAGGCCAAGGCCAGGGACGAATGGAATTGTAATTATAGCCTCACAGAGGATGGAGCCAGCAGGGCCTTGGAGAGCATCTGAGGAGGAAACCAGAGATGTGGAGCGATTTGTTGAAGGCAGAACCACGCAAGGAAAAGGCAGGCTCTGGTTCTCACCCTGGCCTCTGGCCACCCAGGCTGGTGCTCCTTCCCTGCTATAAACCCTCTCAACCTCCTCAAACTAAGGGACGTTTCCTTGCAACAGTATTCGCTACTGGGTACTGGACCCACAACCAGTGACAGATGAGGGATCAGTAATGAGATCTTGTGAGGGGACAGTCAGGAGGCTACTGTGGTGGCCTGGAAAGGTGACAAATGAGGCCCAAAGAAGGTGGAGTCAGAGGAACAAAGGGGAGGGATTGGAGAAACAGATACTGCAGAGGTCGCACTGTCAGGTCGCGGAGGCCACCTAGACTGGGGACTAGAGCTGAGCGGGCAGCTCCGGTCAGCCCGCAGAGGAGGCGGCTTTGGCGGCGTGGGAGCCGCCGCAGGGAGAATGGATGGGCAGTTGGTGAGGAGCCAGAGAGAGCAGGTAGACTTCCAAGAAGCCAGCCGCATTGCAGGGCAGTCTGCGCCTGGTGTGCTACCGTTGGTGCACTATAAATACACAGCTACAACTTTTCCAGAAAAATACACAAGAAAGTGGCGTCCGTCCTGGCCTCGTGGGAGGGAAATGCGTGGTGAGAAGACAGGAGTCCGCTGTCTCTCCCTTTCTGTTCCGCCTTTGGATTAGGAGCCCTGGGCATTTTATATATAATAACATAATCGTTAGAAAAAGTTGTTCAAGTTGTGCAGTAAATAGGAGGAAAGAAGTAGGACACGAACACAGGGCAATAGCAGGTTCGTTTTTTCCTCAGGATGGGGAGAGTGGGCGCCTTTGGAAGATGACATTGAAGCCGGGAGGGGGAGGGGCGCGGTGGAGCTCGGGGGGGCGGGCGGGGGCGGGCCTTGTGCTGAGCTGGGTGGAAGTGGGGAGGAGGAAGCAAGGACAGTGGAGCGGCGCCGCTGATGGCGCCCCTCGGGGAGAGCGGGCACGGATGCGGGGACAGGGACGCCGCCGCGCGGGCAAGGCCCTCGCGGGGATGAAGGGGAAGCGTTCTCAGACCGCCTGGAGAAAAACGGGAACTGTTACTGCGCTGGGGCCTGGACGTGCCCCGCCGCCGCAGTTTCTGGTGGCAAAACACAGAAAACAAAGGAATGATTAAATGAACTGCGGTGCCTTCGCGCCCTGTATTAATGTTCAGCCATTAGAAGAGTGAATCCCAGCTGGGACTTGGGGTTTCCACGATGCGCTAGAAAAGCAAGACAAAGAGGCGCCTACTAGATGATGCCATTTTGGAAAACAAAAGCAAACCCCGTGTGCGTGAGTGTGAGTGCGCGCGGGCGCGCGCGCGCCACACACAGATGTGACGTGGGCACGGAGAAATCACGGAAGTATATACTTCTGTTTGCTTCAATTGGGACGGTGGAAGATAGGGAGGGGGGAATCTTTAATACTTACAGAGTAAACGGAGCAAATGCAAACCCAAACCCTCTGTGTCCCCAGGCTCTGCTACAAAGCGGCGAGGACGAGGCCACTGGGGCGCCGCAGAGGCCCTTCCTGCGGCCGCGCTGTCCTGGGGGAGCGCCCCCGGCGTGGGGTCTCTGCGCCCTTTGTTAGTGAGGAGGGTGAGACCCGGCCGGGCGTGGGAGGCGGGGACCCGGCGGGGGCCCTCGCTCCTGCTTCCTGCCGCCGCCGCCCCAGCCAGAGACGCCTCGCCGGGAGGGAGCGCCGGGACCCCGCGGGCATAGGACCCGGGTCGTCTGTCCCCTCGCTCCCGGTCGCCCACGTGGCCGCCCACTCCCCATTTCTCGCGCAGCCATTTGCTTCCCACCCCTTGTTTTTCTCTTTTCTTTTCCCCTCCCCTCAGCCTCCGGTAACCTCTGATCTACTTTCTGTCTGTGAATTTGCTTATTCCAGATATTTTGTGTAAGCGGAATCCTGTAATCGTCCTTTTGTGTCAGGCTTATTTTGCTTAGCATAATGTTTTCAAGGTTCATCCATGTTGTAGCACGTTTGAGAACTTCCTCCCTTTTTTGTATTGTGATAAAATGTACATAAAATTTATCGTTTTAACCAATTCTTAGTGTCACTGACACCGACTTCAGTGTCAGTAGGTATATTCACATGGTTGTGCAACCATCACCACCACTCATCTCCAGAGATTTTCTGTCATCCCAAACGGAAATGCTGCACGCATTAAACAACTCCCCATCCCCTCCGCCCCGCCCCTGGCAACCACAGCTCTACTTTGTGTCCCTGTGAACTTGGGGCGTCACCTTTCTGGGACATCTGCAATGGCCATCTGGAGGGCTGTGTTCCCATTCTGGAGGTGAGAGGGACAGAGATACCCGTACACTGGAGAATATCTAGATGCAAATGACAAGGATGACAAAACTTAGTCCTATTGGAAATCATCTGTGAAAATGAGTGGAGGGAACTGAGAATATCCAAGAAAGTGAGGTCCTGGAATGAGCTCAATTCATGGAACAAAAAAACCAAACCAAAAAAGCAACTGGAGAATTCAGTTTAACAACAAATTAAAAGAGGCAAACAGGCTGGGCACAGTGGCTCACACCTATAATCAAAACCCTTTGAGGGCCGGTCGCGGTGGCTCACGCCTGTAATCTGCACTCTGGGGCCGAGGCAGCGATTGCTCGAGGTCAGGAGTTCGAAACCAGCCTGGAGCAGCGAGACCCTGTCTCTACAAAAAAAAAAAACCCTTTGAGAGGCCAAGACGGTAGGATCCCTTGAGCCCAGGAGTTCAAAAGCAGCCTGGACAACACAGCAAGATCCTGTCTCCACAAAAAATAAAGAAATTAACCTAGTGTGGTGGCACATGCCTGTAGTCCCAGCTACTGCAAAGGCTGAGGCAGGAGGATCACTTGAGTCCAGGAGTTCAAGGTTACAGTGAGCTATGATTGCACCACTACACTCCCGCCTGGGTGACAGAGTGAGACCCTGTCTCAAAAAAAAAAGGAGCAAACAGTTGATATAACCAAAGAGAAGACACTCAGGCAATCACACAGACTATCTTCACACAAGTGAGGGATGGCAGTGTAAGATGGTGGCTAGACCATTGCTGTCAGAAGTATAATTTTTTTAAAAATGTAGCCACATTAAAAAATATTGGCTGGTCCGATGGTAGTGGGTTATCAGAACTTATTAACATTAGTGTCACTAAAGTTGGTATTCAACTCCCCACTGGTAAATTTGACTGGCTTTTAAAAAAAATAAAAAGAAACAGTAGAATATAACCCAATGTATCCAAAATATTATTTTGACATGTAATCAGTTTAAAAATAAGAATGGGCCGGCGTGGCGATCACGCCTGTAATCCTAGCTCTCTGGGAGGCCGAGGCGGGAGGATCGCTTCAGGAGTTCGAAACCAGCCTGAGCAAGAGTGAGACCCCGTCTCTACTAAAAATAGAAAGAAATTAATGGCCAACTAACATATATAGAAAAATTAGCCAGGCGTGGTGCACATGCCTAGTCCCAGCTACTCAGGGGCTGAGGCAGGAGTGGATCGCTTGAGCCAGAGATTGAGTTTGTGAGCTAGGCTGATGCCACGGCACTCACTCTAGCCTGGACAACAGAGTGAGACTCTGTCTCAAAAAAAAAAAAAAAAAAAAAAATTAATAATGAGATATCTCACATTCTTTCTTTTTTCATACTTGGTCTCTGAAATCAATCTGGCCACATTTCAAGTGCTTAGTAGCTACATGTGGCAACTGTATTGGACAGTGCAGGGTTGGAACCTGAACTTAGGAGTCAGATAGGGCTAGGTTCAAGACCCACATCCATCCCTTACTAGGCTGTGTGACTTGGCAAATTAATCTCTCCTCTTTCTGTTTCTTCATCTATAAAATGGAACTAATAACAGTACCCACTTTATAGGGTAATTTTGAGGATTAATGGTACACAAAGCACTTATATTACACTCAAAATGTAGTATTATAAGCAAAATTAGGTGATTATTAACTTAAATTAATGAGATTTTGGTATTACTCTTAGGGTGACCTCTTTCATTCCCATCAGATGATGTCACTTGGAGACATTCCAGATAGACAAAGTTAAAAGACAGTGGGCAGCCAAGCACGGTGTCTCACGCCTGTTGTCCTAGCACTCTGGGAGTTGGAGGCTGGTGGATCGCTCAAGGTCAGGAGTTCAAAACCAGCCTGAGCAAGAGCGAGACCCTGTCTCTATTAAAATTACAAAGAAATTAATTGGCCAACTATATATATATATATATATAGATATAGATATAGATATAGATATATATAAAACATTAGCCGGGCATGGTAGCACATGGCTGTAGTCCCAGCTACTGAGAGTCACATAAAAATAAATATAACATTGTGGAGTAATAAACAGGCAACAACCAGCATTTGGTGGCACCTAATACTGACGAAGGTGTGGGGAGATCAGCTTTTCGAACAAGATTTCCTGAAGTTTCATTGTTCATTGTACATTGATCTGACCCCAGATTATCAGGCTAAATGAGCTGAGTTCTTGCTTCAAGGAGGAACTAACCAGACAGCCTTCACTAGGCACATTTTTCTTCTTCCAAATGAAGCTGAACAAGCGACAAATTCCTTGTAGCAAGTTTGATTTTTTCCTTGTCACATGAGCAGTAGCTTCACTTTAGCTTTTATAATAGTCCTTTACCACAGGTGTTGACGTTTCACATGGCTCGAAATAGCCCCCAACATTGTTCCAAATTAGACAGAGCGAACTGACAATCTTATTGAAGCCACAGAACCCCCAGAATATTCCTAGGCTTCTAGCTAAGTCTTTAGCTTCAGGAATGTTTTATCTGCCAGCAGCATTTGCTATATAATTTGTGGGGCCCAGGGCAGAATAAAAGCATGGGCCCCTTTTTCATAAAAGGAGGAGAAAAGCTTTTTCCTTTCTTCTACAGTCTCTCTCACAACAGGTCATGGTAGTTTTTATTTCCTATTTGCTCTTGCACACCCTCAGGGGTAAGTGGCCCTCACAGGTCCATGAGACCCTGCCCCAAGACAGCAGTCATTTGCCAGTCTTGGAAAACCTGACCAGTGGGCGGGGGAGAAGGGAACTAACTCTGACTGATCTGAGTCTTCTGTTCTCTGCATGCTGATCTACAGTGGTGCCTGGAGGCAGAAGACGCATCCTGGGTCAGCCATCCCCAAGGGGAGGGAGGGTCACATAGTAACAGGAAACACTGAAAGAAAAAAAAAAAACACATTGGCTGGGAGATCAAAATATTATCCTTGCACATTCAGCAGCGTCTGAGAGCTGGGTTAATGAGTCAGCCCCCAGAGAGCTGATCCACTGCGTGTGTGTTACTAACTCAGCGCTTGAGCCTGGCAAGGCTGAGGACCAGTCAGAGTAAGCTTGGAGGTGAGTTGACACCATGGGGATCTCTGTGGGTGGTCAGCCAATCTGGTGGCCCCATTCTGTCTCCCTGGACAAACTTCTAGAAAGTTCCTAGGCTGTTCAGGGGCCTAAATGAAACAAGGGACCAGAGCTGGGAGTCTCACCCTTTGCCCCTCCCTTCCTTCAAACCCTGTTGTATGGTATCACAAAACACCTCCCTTTGGAGGCATTTCCAGGCTCCTGACTTGGAGGGAAAACCCGCAGCCTTCCGTGCATCCAGAAAAGGATACTTGTGTTTGAAGCCAGTGCTGAAGATGCTTTTAGTTAAAGTTCAGAGACCAACTCCCCGGCTCCGTGTGAGGCCAGATTCTACACACGGGTGTTTCCTGCTTCTTCCACTCCCTGGAAATCCAGCATTAAAAGAAACAAGACAGGCCCCTCAGGTTAGCCAGACAAAGGATGAGAAACGAGTCTTTCCTGACTCAGAGGGAAGGGCCCAGCACCCAAACAGAAATGTCATGAGCCAGAAGTTGGGGGGGTGGGGTGAAGCCAGACCCATCTGGTGTCCTCTGCAAGGGCAGTGCCCACAGTGCCTTCGGGGCGACTTCTTTCTTCCCTGGGACAGTTCCCTGCTGTTTGGCGGTTGGAGCCACCCTCTGACCCACCTGGACCATGTTCCTGTGACCACTTGAACTTTGTGAAAAAGAAGAGTAAGAAAGCTGAGGGACCTTTTTTTGTCAACGTTGCCCTCTTCCTGTCAGCAGCATTTTACCCCATTAACCAACTTCTAAAAATTCTCTTTTCCTTTTTTTTTTTTTGTTACATTCTCTCTCTTCTGATTTGTTTTGCATTTATTTACTCAATTAGCAAACATTCATTGAGTGCCTGTTGTCACCAGGCAAAATAATGGATGCAGGGGACCTGAGGATAAGATGCCTGGTCTCTGCCTTCATGTTTGTCACAAAGGGTCTTCCCTTTTCCTGGCTACTCCTTCCACCTCCTTCGCTCCATCCTCTTCCTGCCTTCAGCTTCCAAAGGTGACATTTCCTGATGCTTTTTCCTTTGGTCCTCATCTTTTCTCCTTCCTCATGTCTTCACTGCTGTAACTCCAATGTCACCCCAGTGCAAATGTCCCTTAAATTCTACCCCGAGTCTAAAACTCTCTTCTGACCTCCAGAACAGGTTTTCCAATAGCTGACCAGTTATCTCCACCTGGATATCCCACTAGTAAGTCAGTTAATAATGTCCGTAAGCTGAATTCTTTTTTTTCTTTTCCTTTCTTTTTCTTTCTTTTTTTTTTTTGAGACATAGTCTCACTCTGTTGCCAGGCCTAGAGTGCCCTGGGGTCAGCCTACTCACAAGAACCTCAACTCCTGGGCTCAAGCGAATCCTCCTGCCTCAGCCTCCTGAGTAGCTGGGACTACAGGCATGCATCACCATGCCCGGCTAATTTTTTTCTATATATTTTTTAAGTTGTCCAGCTAATTTCTTTCTATTTTTTTAATAGAGACGTGGTCTCACTCTTGCTCAGGCTGGTCTCAAACTCCTGAGCTCAAACGATCCTCTCACCTTGGCCTGCCAGAGTGCTAGGATTACAGGTATGAGCCACCTCGGCCAGCCTGAAAATTTTTGTAGCTTGCATTACATTTCCATTACATAGTGCTGATCTAAGGATTAAAACTTAAAATATAATTGTATTTGAAGTGTGTGTATATATATATA